AACCCACCCTCTTCCCCCACCCCACTCGCCTTTAACACCGACAGGATACGTTAGCGAAAAATAAATCTGCGGCCGAATTAGTGAATAGGGCGAGAGTGAGGTGACTTATGACCAGGTCTGAACATTGTCTCAACTCTAATTACTCTCCAGGAACTACCTTGTCAGATATTTCCCGTATTTACCGAGGCATTAAATATCTATCTATCTATCTATCTGGACATCTTTCTGGTTCATCTTTATCGTTTTGTCTGTACTGTAAGTTTGTCTTCAGTGCCGTGTCATTGAGATCCCGTTTGTACTCATCAAGTTCATTTATTTCTCTGTCGGTTCACTCGTGTCGTTTCACCATTTAGGAGGCGGATGTTCTTACGTTGGCCAAAATGATACGTTATTTATTATAATGTGAGGTTAGTATCGAGGCTTCGGGGGGATGAAAAACGACCTATTCATGACAAGAAGACTCCATAATTATATCGTCGACTATGTTCAAAAGTTCATTAAAGAATCATTTTAGGAGTTCAAAGGTGATGGGATTCTGTTTCTGGAAGTCTAACAGTGTGTGTGTGTGTGTGTGTGTGTGTGTGTGTGTGTGTGGGTGAGGGTAAAGCAGTTTTGGTATACACGGTCAAGGGTTCGTTCAAGTGATTCAAAGTTGGGTGAACACTAATTTTTGAAGCCATAGACACAATGTAAACACACACACAAACAACACACGCAAGCACACACGCACACTCAAAAACACAAAATCGTGTCACATTAAAAATCCTAAAATACAGATGGGAAAAATTATGTTTCATTTTCCTTTATGACTTTTAGAAACAGTTTGTTGACATTAATGGATCATGTTGTTAAAGAATGGTCTCTCATTTTCACTCATCACTACTCATCACATCATAAAACAGAAGTAATCACCCATAAACCCTTAAATATTACATATCTTTCTCGTTCGGGGTGACTGACATCTGTACTTACTATGCGAAGTAATATGTATGTACGTATATTTGCCTGTCTATTTAATTATTCTTCCAAACTATAGTCAACATACAAGAGTTATAGAAACGCACACACCCACACACCCACACCCACACACCCACACGCCCACACGCCCACAATGTACAGTACTACAGTGTAAAGGTCTTTCCTCAGGGAGTAACTCAGTAACAAACAAGCTTATGAGACAGTGGACATTATTAACACTTAATTTGTCGATCTATTCTGCTAAATTTTCTATTTTTTTTCCCTTCAACATTTCCAGAGATATTTCCGGAGATGTTTTCCCATCGATTTTTCCCTCGTATATTTTTCCCACCGATTGTTTTCCTCGTATATTTTCCCAGATTTTTTCCAGTAATGTTTCCAAAATGTTTATCCATATTTTCTCACGTTCATTTTCCTAGATTTTTTTTTTTAAGTATTTCCCACATGAAGTGTTCCTGACGGTTCCCCCAGAGCAAATGGTACGAGGAAAAATACCTTGTAACCTCGGCAGTAACCACACTCACTTATACTGGGTTTATTTCTCGTCAATTTGATATTTTAGTTTATAAGTGGAAGGCGGGTTTCCCCCTCCTCTTTGTACACTTACTCCTAAACGCGTCCACTATCTGGTGCGCTTACTGATGATTGGATTACCCTCTTGGTGGTCTAGTATCCTGTCTGGGAGGAGGGTTTTGAGCTGATTGCTAAGAGTTATAGTATAAACGGCTGTCCACCCACACATTGCTGTATCATTGCAACATTGCAGAAAATTGCTAAAAAACCACCTTAAAAATTATTTATATATATTATAATGATCATCTGTTTATACTTCTATTCTTCAACAGTTTTTTATGGAAAGACATAAATGTAGCGTAAATATAAGATATAATTTAACGAAGGCGAAGCATCTGACAGATTCTCCAACTCGAGGAAACGCAACAATGGCGTGAACACTCGGAGCACTGCGGGTGTTTCAACAATATACTGGTCCACTATCACCCCTACTCCCCACCTTGATACCACTCCCTCACATATCCAACACCTCCCCATTTAAGGAATAATCAATCAAGACGTACCATTACCGCTGAAGGTTGACTGAGAAGCTCCCCTATCGAGGTATTGACAAGGTGACAGGAATCAACACAGGAGACTCAGAGGTTGACAGATATGAGAGACTCGGGAGATCTGTGGTGCTCGACTTGAGGCCACAGGGCGACTTGTGGTTTATCGTAAAGGCTCAATAGCGTGATGAGAATGCTGGGAGGTTACCAGAGGGTGTAGAAAGATAAATAAGGATTACGAGACAAATACACCAACACCCTGATGTGCAAGACGTAGGATTAACGGGAGATCTTAAACACTTGCGAAACACCTGTGAAAAGGCCAGAAATTGACGGGAGGGATGCGCGTTCTCCATACTAGACAAGAGGCTTGAGGGATCTTGGCAGCAAGTCAAGAGTTGACAGGGCACCGATCACCTGACGCGGCTGCCCAACACTCACCTGTCAACCACTGCACTGAGACGTGACTCTGCAGCGGTCGGACAAGCACTCACCCGCTGTACGTCAACTCCATGCTGTGTTGACGTGTGTACGTAAAGATGTTGACGTGTGTGCGGAAAAAATGTTGACATGTGTGCGGGGATAATGTTTACCATGCGCGTGTGTGTTGGCGCACGCTAGCATGTGTGAATGAGTTTGTAAGTGAACGTCTGTTTGTGTTTGTGTATGTGTGTGTGTGTGTGTGTGTGTGTGTGTGTGTGTGTGTGTGTGTGTGTGTGTGTTTCTACCGTCTCCTGTCACTTTCTACACCTGTCTTGTACCCTCTACCATATCCCTCACTCTCTGGACGCGTCTGTATTCCTCGTTCCACCTCACACAGACAGACAGACAGACAGACAGACAGTATACTAACAGAGGAGTGATCTTGTTAACTCTTATCAGGTTTTATTTACATGTTAACTTACGTTCTTCTTATAATGTAGAATGTGAAGCCATGAGAAAATGTAGAAACACACACACACACACACACACACACACACACACACACACACACACACACACACACACACACACACACACACCAGCGGCAGGCAGGAAGTCCATTGTGTAAGTTTAATGCATAAAATCTAGGTTAATGCGCGAGGCTGGAGAACCGCCAAGTTTAGTTTAGTTTCGTTTTGTTTTGTTTACATATATTTACACTAGTTTAGGATGGAATTAGATATATATATAACCACTTTTCCGTCAGGCCAGTGCTTGGCTCGTGTACTGTACTGTGTTTACCGTGTATGGTAGGCGGTACACCATAACAAACCCTCAAAATAAATACCCCTTACACTGATTTAATTTCAGAATAACTTGAAATATCTACAAGTTACAAAGACAGTGAGTTCTTGTGATTACCATAAATTATGATAATAGAAAGTATACGTCATGTTAAACTCAAGGGAAAAAAAAAATTATGTTTCAATTCAATAAAAAGAGAAGGCGTCTTATTCATATCAAACAGCTGTCTAATTACCCTGGTTTTATAGCTCGTTTCATAGTTTACGATGCTTGTTAGAGATAGGGTTGAAGTGGCATTAAATAGAAGGAAATATTAGAATAAAGTTTGTTGTTGATTTAGGTTGTAAGAAAATGTCGTGATTATTTTAGTCAAGAATAAATTAAAATGTGGATATAGTGAGGTGGGAGAGTTGTGTTGGTGTATGGGGAGGATGGAGAAGGGGGTGAGGGAGGAGAGGGGTGAGGGAGGAGAGGGGTGAGAGGAGAGGAGAGGGGAGGGAGAGGGGGAGGGAGGAGAGGGGGGAGAGAGAGGGGTGAGGGAGAAGAAGGTGAGGAGGAGAAGGGGTGAGGAAGGAGGAGGGGGAAGGAGAAGAGTGGGGTGAGGGGAGGAGAGGGGGGAGGAAGGAGAAGGGTGAGGAAGGAGAAGGTGAGGGAGGAGAGGAGGGAGGAGAGGGAGGAGAAGGAGGTGAGGGAGGAGAAGGAGGTGAGGGAGGAGAAGGAGGAGGAGAGGGGTGAGGGAGAAGAGGGGTGAGGGAGGAGAAGGGGTGAGGGAGGAGAAGGGTGAGGGAGGAGAGGGGGTGAGGGAGGAGAAGGAGGGTGAGGGAGATGAGGTTGAAGGAGAAAAATAAGATGAGGGAGAAGTGGATGGGAAAGAAGGGAAGGATGAAAGAGAGAAGAAAAAGATGAGGGAGAAAGGGAGCATGAGGGAGAAGGGGAAGATGATAGAGAGAAGAGTATCAGGGAGAAGAAGAGGACGGAGAATTCATGTAACACGTTCCTTCAACTCCCTTCAATAATTACGAAGCTCAGCCCCAACCCGTAGAGCACAAAAACACCCTCACTTAGTGTATCCTCCATCAGAGTAAGTACCCGAGTGTAGTCAGTCTATACCTGACAGTTATCACACCTGCATGACGGCTTCCTCCCAGCCGTGAATATTGGTCGTAATGCTGAGGTCTCCTAGTGTTATGAATTACACACACGAGAGAGAGAGAGAGAGAGATATGACCACTAGCATCACAAGGTCTCTCCTACACACCACAGTTTGGAGATATTTTCTCCGTCTTCTCTCACACATCGTGGAGAGTGATTTGCATTTACTCTTTTTATCATACAAAAAATTCTTGAGATTCTGGCCGCTTGGTGGTCGAGTGAACACGAGGGGGACCGATGGTGATGACTGATAATAACTCACTGTTTTGTGAATGAATTCCTCGGACCACCAAGTCAGGCGACAGTATATATATATATATATATATATATATATATATTCTAATGTCGTTAGTACAACAATACGCTGCGTGTCCTGATACTTGCTGCCACTACATTATTTACCTGAGTAAGTGTAGAGCCCCCAGGGCGATCATGATCACCTGGTGTAATTAACTTAATCTCCCGCATTATATAATATTCAACAGGTAAATGTTATCGTGTATTTTTTTTCATCCAGTAATTTACAGACTTAATTTACGTGTCGCTGACTAATGTTCGTTTCTCTTGTTGCAGGAGTTGTGGAGCTCTTCAGGTGGCGTCATCAAGGACAGCTGGTGGTGGTCTACCGTCTGAGTGTAGTGGGTGTGGGCGTGGCCCCAAAAACACGGGCGGTGTGGGAGGTGGGCGTCACCGTAGCCAGGTGGTGCAGGCGCAATGAACCAGCTGTGTCGAGTGTGCGGGGAGCCTGCCGCAGGCTTCCACTTCGGCGCCTTCACTTGTGAGGGTTGTAAGGTGAGTCTTACCCCCCTTCCTCCTTCACCCTCACCTGTAAAGGCTGTAAGGATTCTGTCCATCTTGTTCACCACCATTTCCTTCCCTCTATACTGAGATAGGGACTAAGAGAGAGAGAGAGAGACCCACTCTTCCCCACTAGGTATAAATATTCACTTGGGTTGAGACACACACTGTACCGCAAAACTTTCATACTCAGTTAAATTATATTTTATGGGTCACCTTAAAGCTCACGTTTAGGTCACTAGTAATTTTAATGTCCTATAGACGCAGTATTAACGTCTCCTATACACACAGACGCACCAAATAACATCTTCCAACTTTATATCCCTGATAAGTCCCTTAATCTTATAATCTACCAGTACAGGCGACGTACTCATCCATCTATTATCTGAGCCTTTAACCACTGCGTTGGTCTTTACTCTTGGTTAATACGTCGAGGCAAATCCCACCAGTCCGAGACAAGAGGCGCTGAGGTGTAAGATCGAACACTTCTGGTCGAGTTTCTTCACGCTTGAAGTTTACCGATGACGCCATTACCACTTCTTATGACGTCATAACTTAACGTCACGTTCTTTGTGATATACGAGATGACATCATAGCTGCTGGTAACACTGTATTTCCAAAGATGAACTAATGTTGACGTCATAGCTTCCGATGACTTCAAATTCCTGGCATACGCTATTTGATAACGTCATAATACCTGTGGTGAATCGTTCATGACGTCATAATCCCTAAACGTGGCAGCAATTAAAACATAACCTTTGATGACGTGCAGGTGAGGGGGTAGTCCTTGCCCTACACGACACGGAAGGGGTGGTGGTGGTGGTGGTCCCTCAGAGCGGCGGTGACACACTCCTTGTACCGGGCACGACCTTCCCTCACACCCCCACACCACCCTCCCACACACCCTCACACCACCCTCCCACACACCCTCACACCACCCTCCCACACACCCTCACACCACCCTCCCACACACCCTCACACCACACACAATCATGGGCCTCAGCTCACCCCAATAAACGAGTCCTAATGAAAATCAATAATACAAAAAAAACTCTGAAGTATAACCATAAATAAAACGATAAATAAAAGGAAAATGAATAAAAGACAGAATGAGGAAGAGGCTAATCACCCCTCCCAATCACCCCCCTCCCCCCAATCACCCCCCTCCCCCCAAGAGATCAATCACTGTGCTATGTTTGAGGTGTTATAAATAAAATATAGAGGAGGCGGTAGAGTCCGGATGTATTAGCTAAGGTTGGCCCTCCCGGGGTTAAATGGCAGCGTGTGTGATTACTTTGATTTACTGACTCACTGGAGGAGGCGAGTGGTGCAGGGGTGGGGGTGGGGGTGGGGTGTGGGTGTGGGGTGGAGCAGAGGTTGGGTGGGGTGGTAAGACTACCACACACACATATACTCCCATTCATCTTCTCTAATAGATTAACTAAGGTACTCAAGAAGGACTGTATATATGTTAATCTTTTATTTCTATCCGTTACGCCGTTTTTCATCGATTAAGGCGATTTGGTCCTTGTGAGATTTGGGATAGGAAGTATGGTGGACCGGGTGTTTGTGTGTTTGTTTTTCATCCTTCAATATTCGAGTCATTTTCTCTCACTCATTCACTCCTTCTCTCATTCCACTTCATTCTATGTTTCTTTATTTTTTCCCTCACCACTGCACTATATTTTCTGTCCCTCCCTCCTTCTTTCCTTTCTTTCTTTCCCTCTCCATCCCTCCTTCTTTCCTTCCTTTGCCCCTCTTTCCCCCCCTCTTACCTCTTCTTCCCCTTCCATCCCTCGTTCCTTCCCCCCTCCCTCCCTCCTTCCCCCATCATTTAGTACCCCCACATGCCATAACCACCAAGACGCTCACTCATACATTCAAAGTATCCACCAATGATCGATCTCTGTCAGCAATCAGACGCCGTGATCAAGAAACCTTTAATGAAACGCTTTATTCACTTGTTTCATCTATGGTATGTAATGTTGTCAAGCTGATGATGAAGAAAAACTTTCATTGTTCACATAGTATAAGTGAGCAAAGTTTGTGACATCGTAATATGTTACTTTCAGCCTCTAGTTGTATTCTTGTTTAATACTATGATGTCCCACACAAAAAAAATATATATGAAAGTTTATGAAATTATTACTTTTTAGACGAGCATTATTTCATTGTAATATATTTTTTTACCTTTATCGGAATTTGGTTTATCTAATGGTTTAAAAAAATATCAAAACATTTGTAAATTGTGAGAAATGAAATCTGAAAAAAAAAAATCAGAGTTACGTGAATAAATGGTTTTGGTGATAGGATGAGCGATCTTGATGCTTGGGTGATGATGGTACCTGAAGTTACTCCTGAACACACCTGAGATGAAGCCTTTAATTAGTACTATATCACCTGCATACTCGAAGTTATAGTATGGTTTCCTTTCTGTCGTGTGTTATATCTGTCGACGACGTGTTAACATAATCCATTACAAATAATTCCACACTTTTCACAATAAACATTAACTTGTTTCTTGTTCCTCGCGTTACTTTTCGATGCTTGAATTCTTATTTTTTTGGCTGCGTAGAGAGTGCTTAACAACATTCGCCTTTCCTGACTTAACTGATATTATTATTTGCACGTGAGGGATGCTATTTTCAAGTACAGCTTAACACAACCAATGAACGAAATTTGTTCATTTTTGTTCAGTAGTAGTTATTTTTGTGAACTATTTTTATTTTTTCTCATTAATGGACGACAAGAAGTTTTAAAGTTCATCATTATGATTTATAAATTTCATGTCATTCTTCCTCGACGCCGCCAACACCAACTATCAGACAGACTATTAACCCACAGTTCGCTTCGTTTTCATGCGTCACACAATTTGGCGTTCCATTTCACATGACAATTTACTCCACGCCGTCAATTCCACCAAAACACAATGAACCTCTTATCACACAACTCTTGCTCGGCACTACAAACCCACATCTTACATCATCATTACCCATTTCAACCCATGACTGTCATCACTTTCATTCTGGTGCCCCTATTATCCTACCCCCTCTCCCCACCGCCCCATGATCATACCCACGTCCCCTATAGCGTGGTTCCCTCACCTGGTGCTCCCTCTTACCTGTCATTACCACTAAGTGTGATGAATGTAGCCGCCCCTCTTGGTAAGTTCTACCTTGTGAGAAGTGAGAAACAGGGATCGATGGACGGCTGCTCACTTTGTACCTTTGATTTAGACATTTCTTAAGGAATATACCCTCCACCTTCTTACTTAGTATCTTCATCTTAGTAAACTTAGTTATAATTAAACGTTGAATACTTGCATACTAGCATGTTTGTGAAGGCTTAGTGTGTCTGTGTCCAATTAATTTGTCATTAGTATGTATTCTTCAGCATATATGATACGGGAATTCGTATTTTCATCGTGTATTCGTTAGATCTGCTCTGTGTGTGTGTGTGTGTGTGTGTGTATGTGTGTTCCCAAGTGATCCTATATGTGTGAGTCATAGTTAATAAGTCTTGTGGTTACGTCAGTCATGTGTATAATACCTACATGCGTCAGTTTCACCAGGTGGGTATTCTCAAATGGTTTAGTGACGTAGTTCCTCCCCCGCATGCGGTAGTCACCCGTAGGTGTCGTAATAACACGGGAACTCCCTCAAGCCTTGACTATCAGAGGCCGCTGTAGTCATCCCTGCTATGCCCTTCCCCCAGGCAACAAAAGAAGTGTTTTGTCATTGTTTACTGGGCTCTCTCGCTTGTTTGTTGAGCAGTTTGCCGGGTTTATAGTGCAAGTCTTGTTAGCATTGGTCTCACACACACACACCTCCCTCCCTCCCTTCCTTCCCTAGTAAACTGTGGCGGCGAAAAGCGTCATTTTGTTCCGGGCTTTGGTGTAACTGCGTAGTTCATATATTATAGTTCTTTAGTCAACACCCGCAAAGAGATGTGAGTTACCACCTGTAATTTCTCTACCTATATTCCGCTCTCATCCACGACACCTTTATCGTTTATATTATCACCATATTACACCAAAATTTCCTCAGCCTTGATAACCCAAAATGAACGAAGATTAATATTATGAAATTAACGAAAATATTAAAAACAACAAACGAATGAAAAAGACTTGACCACTTTAATCGTAATTGGAGGACAGTGTGGCGTTCTTCAGGGAGGTTTTCTTCATGTTGCGAGGGACTTGAGACGTCACTGCGGACAGGTTGTGGTTTAATATTATTTTTGTCCGGTCGAGGAGTCTTGAGCGACCTTGTGGGGGTAACATTATGGGTTTTGTCGTGTAGTTTAAACAGTCAGTGGACCAGTTCACTATAACACGAGTTGGTTAGTAACTTGGCTTTGTGAAATTAACGCGACTTTACTGTAAGAACTGTTTTTATTATTATTATCATTATTATTATTATTATTATTATTATTATTATTATTATTATCCGATTTCTGAAATGCAAGAAAATATAATACAATACGAAAAATATAACTGATATATTTCCATGATATTTTTACCCATATAACTTGTTTAGTCAGCCAATCGAATATTCTAATTTAGTTAAGAGTTCAACAATATAAAAATACATGCACATAAAATACAGTATTATTATAAATTATGATTGTAATGTAGAGTAGTTAGGTATTTTAACTATCCAGACTTTTAAACACCATTCATCAAAGTCTTATTTCTTACACTAGACAACAACTTAAGAGTAAAAAGAAAATATATCACTCAGTATTCACCTCCAGAAGACGAATCTGATAAAGACGACCAACCTTGATAACTTCCTGTTGTGATCAGTATAAGAACAGTGTGTAAGTATAACAGGTGGTCAGGTGTAGTGAACGATACTGAGGTGATATAATTCCCCTTTCCCTGTGTACACACCAAAACACCCTCTTCCTGCCATCACAAAGTTATAATTATATCAAGAATCGTTGGGTTAGTTTTTGGTGTAAATTACCAAATCAATAAAAATAATTAAAATATGTATGTTTACTTAATATAAAATTTACATACAGGCATACAAAAAAATTAGTTGTTGCACTAAATAATTTCAAGTGACATCGAAAGCGTTTTTAGTGTAGTGTAGTGTAGTGTAGTGTAGTGTAGTGTAGTGTAGTGTAGTGTAGTGTAGTGTAGTGTTTGGAAGAATTAAGCTGGTCAGACCTTTAGTGTCTTCCTCTCCTTCTTCACTCTTCCTTCAGCCTTCCTTCACTCTTCCTTCACCCTTCTTCCTTCATCATTCTTCCTTCACTTCTCCTTCACCCTTCCTTCACCCTTCTTCATTCACTTCTCCTTTTCACCCTTCCTTCACTCTTTCACCCTTCCTTCACTCTTCCTTCACCCTTCCTTCATCATTCTTCCTTCACTTCTCCTTCACCCTTCCTTCACTCCTCCTTTCACCCATCCTTCAGCCTCCTTCACCCTTCTTCATTCACTTCTCCTTTCACCCTTCCTTCACTCTTTCACCCTTCCTTCCTTCTTCCTTCTCGTCTTAACCGTTAATATTCACCAACTTTTTTGTTGTGTAGTGTTTTCATCTCAACCCTCGAGTTCTTTCTTTCTTCGTCTATTTATATTTAATAAATCTGAAGAAACGGAAAATTATTGCAACAAACTTAAAAAAATATAACTCTCTTTCTAGCAATCATTATATCTACAATGTTCCCCAGTAATATTCTCCTCAGTAGCTATTCTCCCCTATAACTAACTATCCTCCCCAGTAACTATCCTCCCCAGTAACTATCCTCCCCAGTAACTATCCTCCCCATTAACTATCCTCCCCGGTAACTATCCCCCCAGTAACAATCCTCCCCCAGTAACTATCCTCCCCCCACTATCCTCCCCGGTAACTATCCTCCCCAGTAACTATCCTCCCCAGTAACAATCCTCCCCCAGTAACTATCCTCCCCTATCCTCCCCCGGTAACTATCCTCCCCAGTAACTATCCTCCCCAGTAACTATCCTCCCCGGTAACATCCTCCCCAGTAACTATCCTCCCAGTAACTATCCTCCCGGTAACTATCCTCCCCAGTAACTATCCTCCCCAGTAACTATCCTCCCCGGTAACTATCCTCCCCCGGTAACTATCCTCCCCCGGTAACTATTCTCCCCCAGTAACTCTTCTCCCCTTCTCCCCCAGTCGTTCTTCGGGCGGACGTACAACAACGTGTCATCGCTGGGAGACTGTAAGAACGGCGGCCGCTGCGTCATCAACAAGAAGAACCGAACTTCCTGTAAAGCTTGTCGCCTCCGGAAGTGTCTGGTGGTGGGCATGTCCAAGTCCGGCTCCAGGTGGGTCTTGTAGTGTTAAATCTGTCCCTCTTGTGGTCCTGTTGTTGTAGTGTTAAATCTGTCCCTCTTGTGGTCGTGTTGTTGTAGTGTTAAATCTGTCCCTCTTGTGGTCGTGTTGTTGTAGTGTTAAATCTGTCCCTCTTGTGGTCGTGTTGTTGTAGTGTTAAATCTGTCCCTCTTGTGGTCCTGTTGTTGTAGTGTTAAATCTGTCCCTCTTGTGGTCCTGTTGTTGTTGTGTTAAATCTGTCCCTCTTGTGGTCCTGTTGTTGTAGTGTTAAATCTGTCCCTCTTGTGGTCCTGTTGTTGTAGTGTTAAATCTGTCCCTCTTGTGGTCCTGTTGTTGTAGTGTTAAATCTGTCCCTCTTGTGGTCCTGTTGTTGTAGTGTAGTGTTGCAAATGTTTGTGTTTTGGGTAATTTGGTTTAGTCCCCCGTTGATAGAGTGAAGTTTCCTCATTATGTTGCCATGTTTCTCATTAAATTGTGTGTCTCTCTCTCTTTCGTCGTCTTTCTCACTTCCAATCCCCCAGTCACTTTTCTCATTACTGAACTGATAGCTGACTGCTTCCGTTGTGTCCTGTGTAGTCATGTGCTGTGACAATGGCGGAAGGTTATGAGGGTAGAGACGTGACAATATGCCTCTTAAGTATTTTCTTATATGATGACTAAGACGAGTAATAAATGTACAAAGTTCTGGAGTTCCTGGTAGATGGTTTTGCTCTAACTTTCAAGACTCTCGACTCATGGAAGAGGAATATTTCTGTTGTAGACGAGAAGTTGTCATCCAGTTGTAACATTCTAATATTCTACCTACGTGGATTTTTTTAGTTAATGGGTTGGATCTGTTCTAATTATTAAATATCATTACATGGGTGTCTTGAATACCTACTTAGTGAATAATTTTCTAGATCCAATGGAACTGTTTGTATGCTTCTAGAGGTACCAGATACCCGCCTGGCATACTTTTGCTTAATTTAGAAACTTAAGACACAGGTTAACGCCAGGTAACAGATGACCTCTGAACTTTACCATAACCTGGTCATCGTAAGCCTTTTGTCCCCAAGTCCAGCTCCAGGAGATTTTACTGCTGTTTTACCGCTTGTGGTCTTGTGTTGTGGTGGCGTGGTCTCACTTTCAACGCGTCCTTCCATACTCCTGACTGTCTGTTACGGGTGTCAGCAAGTGTGTGGTGTTGAGCAGTCTCAAGGTCAACTATAGGTGGGCATTTTGTTCCTAGACGTAATGTAAATGTCATTTTATTGTAGGTTTACAGTGGTCACATTTAGGTCACACTGCGTTCTTAGTCACGTTCATGTGATTCCCACGTAACTAAACCAACACAGGAAAAAGATGACACAACGAGGATTTTACCTATAAGATATAGTCATGGTGCTGTAACTACCTGTAATTCAGATCACCTTGCGGCTGTCCCGTAAAAACAGCGCCAGCACGAGCAATCAACAACGTCCTCTTCCATCCCACAAAAAAACTCGTTCAGGGAAGTTATGTCAGACGAACGATCGCTCGCCTTCTGTTGCCGGTGGCGCTCTCTTTTTTATACCAAGGGCATCATGTCAACATACTCTGGTGTCTTATGATAAGTACTGTAATCATCACTACCTGAGAGCACCCAGGCCAGCCGGGGTGGGTTTACCTCCCATTTAATATCACGTGTAAGACGGTAATGTGGACCCTCTGCCTGGTACACGAGGACTGTGAAGGTCAGTTTGTGTCAGGAGATGTCAAGAGAGACAATACCCAGACCTCTCCTTGACAGCTGTAAAACTTGACGGAGAGTTCTTGTCCAAGGGAGAAGAAGAACGTCAGTGTAGTTAGTGGGTGAGTGACAGGACCAAGGTTGAGAGTTACGGAAACTACCTTGATGGTCGTACTAAAGTAAGTGTGAAAGTCGGTGCAGTGTGAAAGTGTTTGTGGGTGCTTCTCTGCCGCAGTTAAGAAATAGTTATGAATTTTATAATCCACTTTTCTTCCCACGTCCCCACTTTACTTTGTGGTCACTGACATTATTTCCTTTAGTAATTAAGTTTAATTTACGTATTTTATTATCTTACATCAGTCATCCATTTATTTAGTAATTTCATATATTTATTTAGTTGTTAATCTTGTGTTCATGACCCGAGAATTTTATGACATGACGTTCTGGTTTATTTTTCCTCAGGTATGGTCGTCGCTCTAACTGGTTCAAGATCCACTGCCTCCTTCAGGAGAAAGCCGCCTCCCTCACCATCGCCATGGAGCGTAATAACAACACCCTGGCAGTGCAAGAGGCCAAGAGGGCTCTGCAAGGGCTGACCTCCTCGTCCTCGCCCACTCCGGAGGCTCCGACAAAATCCAGCGAGGCCGGTGAGGAGACTAACATCACCATTAAGGAGGAAGACAGCGGGCCAGAATCACCCGCCCTCAGCAGCCCGGAGTCTCAAGCCTCTGACAACTCCTTAGAGTCTCCTCTGGATCCCAGGAGACCGCCAGCTCCCTTCCATCTCTACCCGAAACTGGGGGTTCTCTCCCCCTTCTTCCTCCACACTAGCTCTGCCCTCACCTCTCCCTCCTCCACTTATCCTCACCTGCCATTTTATCCATACCTCTATCCTGTCCTCAACAGACCCGCCGAGAGGCCGCCCACATCCACGCCCATACCCTCCCACTCCCCACCCCATTCCTACATACCTTCTCCCGCCCACCTTCACCAGGAATCTCCCTCAGCCAACCATCCGTTAATTCTTCCCCATATTCGCGAGCCCTCCACCCACTCTCCCGCCACGAGCCACCCTAGACCTCCCACTCCACCTACCCACAACCTACCCACCCAGTCTCCTCGCACCGCCCACGCTGAACAGGAGGAAAAACCCAGCACCCACAGTACAGCTGAAGACCTCCGAAAGGCCCAGCAGGAGATGGAACGTTCTACATCCCCAGATGGCAGGGGGCCGTCGACCCCCCGCTGTGGTGACGAGGCTGAGGAGCAAGAGGAACCCATGGACTTGTCCGTCAGACGGGCGCCCACGCCCACGGCCCAGGCTGCCCCCAACAAGACCCCCAACACGTCATCGGAGACTCAAGTCACCTACAGCATGAGAGTGACGGCGGCGTCCCTCAGCCCAGGGTGTGGCCAGGACGCAGCAGCTCCTGTTGACCTCTCGTGCCGAGCCTAAGTAACGCCGGAAGTCTAGATAGATATAAACCCTTTAGAAATTCCTATATTTTTCACTTTTTTACATTATCTACAGTTACGTGGAACAGTTGTACAGATGATTTAAATATTCCATTTTATATAAAAAAGAAAACAGATTTGGTAGCATTTGTAAATGTTTGTATTCCTTAACAGTTTGAGGTGGTCGAGTATATGATAAATACTCCCATATAGAGAACAAGAGAAAAAAACACAGTTTATTCTCATGTGTGAATAAACGCAATCAAAGTGTGACGGAGACAAAGCGAAATAAAACAGAATTTATTTTCCTTAAAAAAATAAATATATCTGTCTTCAAAAAACAGATATTAACCGCAATGTTTTTAGAAAGAACATGACTTCACTAACCAAGAGACATTGTAACAGCGGCTGGTAACAGTGAACACCTGTCTGTGGACGTCACTTTCGGATCCCCACACCAATGAAATTCATCTAATAAAGTAACTTCCTGATCACTATTACATCAAAATACATCTGTAATTCTCTCTACATATTATTTTTTTTTACTTAGTATTGATTAAAGACAATGAAATATAGAAAAAAAATACATTAAATTCTAACCCTTTGAGGACGAGAGTTTATCCCCTCAAAATAAACAACTCACAATCCACACCTCACAATCCACACCTCACAATCCACACCTCACAATCCACACCTCACAATCCACACCTCACGATCCACACCCCACAATCCACACCTCACAATCCACACCTCACAATCCACACCTCACAATCATCACCTCACAATCCACACCTCACAATCATCACCTCACGATCCACAACTCACAATCCACACCTCACAATCCACACCTCACAATCCACACCTCACAATCATCACCTCACAATCCACACCTCACAATCATCACCTCACAATCCACACCCCACAATCTAAACCTCACAAGACATAATATAATAAGCTTATATGTATGTATGTATGTATGTATGTATGTATGTATGTATGTATGTATGTATGAATGAATGTATGTATGTATGTATGTAATTAGAGTCAGTAGTCTAAACACTTCACTCACAAGGGATTACTATACAACTTTACTCAAATTAATGAAATATTGTGTTTATCTACCTGTGTGTTTGTTTGTCTTACATTTTCCTTCCTTCCTTCCTTCCTTCCTTCCTTCCTTCTTCTCTCCCTCCTTCTTCATCCCTGCCTCTCCCCCCCTCCCTCCCTCTCTCCCTAACCACACGACCTTGAGATATAAACCCAACGAGTAAAGTAATTAACCAGACAATTTAGCATCATTATCTCTAATTGAAGGACGAGATTTTCCCTTCATGCTGAAATAACTAGGAGAGTCATTACTAGTTTTGTGGATCCTGACCAACGTTTCTCATATCCTGTGTGTGTTTTGTAAAGGGCCATCCCTCCCCCCTCAGGCTACTGGGGGAGAGAGGTAGGGAGAGGGGGAAGGGGTGAGAAGGAGGGAAGGAAGGAGGGAGAGACAGACAGACAGACAGAGGATGATAACTAACATGGCCAATACAAACATGTAAATACACATCTTATGGCAGAGTCCAACACGACCTACAGAAGGACTTGAGAATGAAACTCCTGGAAATAACGCTAGTGAATGATAATAGCCTCCTACAACCTCCGTCCTTCCCTCCTACGTCCCTATTTCCTTCCTCACTCCTTCACCCTGCTTCCTCACCCATCTCCCTCCCTCACCCTCACTCCCTCACTCCCTCACTCACTCCCTCACTCAAGAGTTACCTACACATCATTGGCCTTTATAGTGAACACCAGACAAGTGAAATGTATACCAACAAGCGGTCACACTTTTAGACAGGTTATATTAGATAAGAGTGAGTGAGTGAGTGAGTGCGTGTGTGTGTGTGTGAGTGAGGAGCATGCGTGTGCGTGTGTGTGTGTGTGTGTTTCATGACGTCAGAGGTGGGTTCTGACGTCTTGAGGAAAATAGTTTCATAATTATCTTCTTTATGTATTTTTTTTTTATCAATCTGTTTTTTTTGTTTCTATGCATAATTATCTATCTATATTTAACCTCTCTCTCTCTCTCTCTCTCTCCTCTTCGACGTCATACACACACACACATCGTAACCTTATCATCCATGACTTAGATTCTCCAAAGAACAAGAGTTTCAATCCAATTAAACCGCCAAATATTTAGATACGTCTTAGAGTCTTCATCTACTTGTGTATGAAGCTACACACACACCTATAAACATTAATCACCTCACAGTATATAAACCAAACCTTGATATAACGAAATCGTGACATCATACGGTTACCTCTGCTATAGTGTGTCTTACTCCACTATATAAGGAATATTACTATTTACAACGTGATAATTTTTGTCCTATATATTCGTCATGGTTCGCCTCTACAGTATAACCAGATAAAAGCAACGTCTAGGTAGTAAATATATCCTGGCTGACGTTCAATCATGTATATAATATTCACAGGTGTTGTAAAAAATATGAAAAACGATGGTAATTTGGATAACTATTTCCAATTACTGATTATATTTTTATAACTGTTGTATTTCTTCTACATATCATGAACCTTTTGTGAACCCCGTGTGCTTAATGTGAACCCCGTGTGCTTAATGTGAACCTCGTGTGCTTAATGTGAACCCCGTGTGCTTAATGTGAACCCCGTGTGCTTAATGTGAACCCCGTGTGCTTAATGTGAACCCCGTGTGCTTAATGTGAACCCCGTGTGCTTAATGTGAACCTCGTGTGCTTAATGTGAACCCCGTGTGCTTAATGTGAACCTCGTGTGCTTAATGTGAACCTCGTGTGCTTAATGTGAACCTCGTGTGCTTAATGTGAACCTCGTGTGCTTAATGTGAACCTCGTGTGCTTAATGTGAACCTCGTGTGCTTAATGTGAACCTCGTGTGCTTAATGTCGTGTGCTTAATGTGAACCTCGTGTGCTTAATGTGAACCTCGTGTGCTTAATGTGAACCTCGTGTGCTTAATGTGAACCTCGTGTGCTTAATGTGAACCTCATGTGCTTAATGTGAACCTCATGTGCTTAATGTGAACCTCGTGTGCTTAATGTGAACCTCGTGTGCTTACTTCAAAGTCATCTGTTCAATAGATAGGAACTGTTATTAATGATACAATATTGTTCATAGTGCAACATAGATACTTAAGGATATATATATATATATATATATATATATATATATATATATATATATATATATATATATATATATATATATATATATATATATATATATATATATATATATATATAATCATACATAATAAAAATAAATAAATAATGATATACATATATACATACATACACACATGAATGCTTGTAGCTGCAACAGTCCACCACAACCAACACCACAACCACGGTATATTGACGTGATCTTGTCAGCGTTTAGAAGTGAACCACACTACTGTCAAGAGCCACATGAATATCAAGAGCCACACGACTGTCAGGAGCCACACGACTGTCAGGAGCCACCTCCACGCTTACTAGCGTTCCTTACTCTTCAACTTACTACTTGTATAAAAAATTTTTATATATGTATATGTTATCAAGATATTATATCGATTTTAATTTTATAAGTTAATATAATTATGTGGATAAACAGAGGTCTATATTCTATGCATTTTTATTCTGTATTATATTATTTCTTGTACAATATACTGTCGCTAGATCTTGGGGTCATAACAAAGGCTTGTCACTCATCTCAATAATTCGCTTGTGTGTGTGTTATCTCCCGTGGAAAATTATATATATATGCTTATACTTTTTTTAACTATAGATATAGAATATTGTGCCATACAAAATAGTTTTTTATATAAATAAATATATATTGAGCATATGAATAAAAAAAGACGTTTGGAATTAATTGGTGATTTATCTAACCCACATATCTGAAGTGTCATGTTGCGTGTGAATGTTTTGTGTGTGTGTGATGTGTGGCGGTAGCTTCAACGTCGCAAATCCCTCAGTTATGATATTCCCTGGAGGCAGGAACCATGAAATAACTAACTTCTACACAGTGAACACATAAATCTGACAGTCGGGTAACAACAATGCATCATTACGAGTCGTGAAATTAGCACATTTATACATTGGAGCGGAGTTTAACCTTTTAACATCAATGGAACTAAGTGTTTTATCTTTCAGCACCAAGGTTGACGGTTCGCCATCCACTGTAGTTTTAAGGTGACAAGTGGTGGCTTTACTCTACGTGTGTCTAACAGGTGGTTGATTATTAATTAACTCGTATGGTAGGGCAGGTAGGGTGCCGGCCTTAATAAATCAGTGTCTTTGTATATATATATATATATATATATATATATATATATATATATATATATATATCGCTCCTCCATATTAACACACCCTTTCACACGTTCACTCACTCTTACGTTCACTCACTCACACGTTCGTTCTCTAACTCTCACGTTCACTCACTCGTACGTTTACTCACTCACACGTTCACTCACTACGTTCACTACGTTCTCTACTCACTCACTCACGTTTACTTCACGTTCACTCTCACACGTTCACTTACTCACTCACTCCTCACTCACTCACACCGTTCACTCACTGTTTACTCACACAGTCACTCACTCACTCACTCCTCACACCGTTCACTCACTGTTTACTCACACAGTCACTTACTCACTCACTCACTCACTCACTCACACCGTTCACTCACTGTTTACTCACACAGTCACTCACTCACTCACTCACTCACTCACTCACACCGTTCACTCACTGTTTACTCACACAGTCACTTTGAATAATAATAAAAGTCAACCTTCTATTCCATTAACGCTGACATCACTCACTGAGGTATTAAATATGATAAATTTTATACCAGAAAATTTGAATTTTTTTTAATAATCGTAAACTTGAACGCGACAGTAAGATGTAATCCTACTTGTGATATTGTTTCTTCTTTACGGTCTATTTATGAAAGAGTCGAGTAGTTTATTATAGAAAGACTGATATGTGATGCACTTTTTCAGGTTAGGTGAGGGTCTCAGGGTGGCCGGTGACCATACTAGAGTTCAGTGTCTCTCTCTCTCTCTCTCTCTCTCTCTCTCTCTCTCTCTCTCTCTCTCTCTCTCTCTCTGGGGTATAGAATTTGTCGATGGATTTGGATGAAATTTAGAGAAGATATAAACACAATTATAAAACTAATAATTACGGAACTACATTGACTTCATCTTCCAGTGTACTAGTCATACGTAAAAAAAAAATTATATATTACAAATCAAATCAGCCACAGGAGTTAAGTGTGAAGAATCTTGAGGTACCGCCAGAAAATGTTTACCCTCAGTTAGTCACAACGGCGAGAAAAAAAACCCACACGCAATTTAAACGCCATTTTGACTGCCATATTTGCATCATCGCTTCTGTCTGTCAGTTAAATGCATTTTCATGTCAGCAGCAACGAGGGGTTTTAACATACGAGTGTCTGGAAATTCTTGATAAATGGCTGTAATGTTGGGTTAATGGATAGTCTCGAACCGGTGGTGTCTGACAATTCGAGTGTTTATGGGACCGACTCCATCCCCTTAATGATACCTAATATTAATGGACCATTGTTCAAATAGTCCATAAGATTAATGGTCTACGGGCCTATAATGGCACCTTGAGGCACGCCTAATTTTTATCACG